CGGCAAGATGATGTGTCTGCTTTTTAATATGCTGTCTAGGCTTGCCATAGCTTTCCTCCCAAGGAGCAAGCGTCTTTTAATTTCAAAACAGTGTCTTTGCAACCCAAGAGATATTAATCAATTAGACAAATTCTAGAAAGAAGGAATGCTAAGCAGTGCAATTAAGACTGAGTGGGCTGATTAGCCATGAAATGCTGATTGACTGTTGGAAGGGAAAGGTGATGGTGACAGAATCCCTCTCCTGGATAACAGTATTCCATGCTGCAATATACAGAACTTGTTACAGAACTCATTTGTCAATCTACAGCAGGGTTCCCCAAAGTAGTTAATATTGATCCCCAACGGTTGATGGGACTATCCAAGAGGTCAATGTTGTTGTTATTCGTTGTACTGTTAGTTAAAGTAGCATTTATTAAATTATTTTCATATAATAAATGTCAATGAACAGTCTGAAACTTCATGAAAGTGTTGATGGAGACCCTGATCTACAGGAAATGGAGTAGCCAGGTTGGGGGAAGGTAAGTCCTGGATTCTGACATCAACTAAACAAGTATCAGCCTTCCCAGGTAGACCAGACAGGAAATAACACCAGATGAGCTAATTCTACTTTACTGTAAGGCTACATTAACAGAATCTTGCAAGTCTGAAAGTACCAATCTCCCACTGTCTCCTTTACAGCCTGAGAAGCTAGGGAGGATCCCTTCTGAGCCACTTGCTCCATCCATTATGCAGCTGCAGGCTATGCCCACTCTTATCTGACCATTCCCTAGGCAGCATCTCTTTACCCTGTCTCTCAAGGTCTTTCTCACATACCATTACAACAAGAAAGGACTTTGGATGATGATGATGATAAATGAATAATAATGATTATGATTTATTAAATTTATATGCAGCCCAACTCCCAATGACACTGGAAGATTAGTGGCCTGAACTGAAATAATGGGTTAAAAAGTTAGGACATTTGAGTCATCTTGATTTTTATTCATTCTGCTTATTTTATGTACATGTAAATTTCAAAGCAATTGTCACACTTTTTGCCTTCGACAATACATTGTGACACTTTTTGCATTTCCTTTCCCTCTGACCTCACTGCTTAATTAATTAAGCAACTCCACAGAGTAATCAGTATTCAATTAGTTGCCTTGTTATGAGACTAATCCCAAGAAGATAAGCCTGGATATGTTGGACAAGGGTTTGCTCTTCCTTCCATCTCAAGCTACGTAGCCTCTTCTTTTTCCAGAGGTATAAATGCTCATAGATTTTGCAATTTGCACTCACCAATCCAAATAGCAAAGCTGACAGCCATGGCTACCTGGGGGGTTCGATAACGCAACGATTGCAGTGGGTACAGTGTAGCATAGCAGCGGTCCACACTCATAGCCATCAGAGTAATGCAGGTGGCCTGGACGGTCACCTGGTGAGAAGACAACAGCATGTGGTGAAGACACTGAAATCTGAATGCACCTTTCAGCTGCTCGTGTACCTCCTTCTCCTTAAGGCAAGAACAGCACTATTCGCATACACTGTGAATAGCTTATAGCCCCCGCAGATCTATAACAGCTGAGAAAGGGGTGGCGGGAAGATGTAAACAGCCTGCGGGTTGCCAGTTCTAGCATACAGCTATGTATATGGCACCATTAAAATACATCCACCTGCACAGCATCAATTGTAATTATTGGAAGTAAAATTATAGATAGCAATTCTTCTACCGTTCAAGCTCACCTGCTGTAAGTAGTTGACAAATTTGCACATAAAGTCGCCAAACACCCAGCTGGGCAGGGGATAGAGAGTGGCAGTGAAGGGCACACAGCACACTAAGAATATGATGTCAGTGGTAGCCAAATTTGCTGTGAAAGACACAAAGTTGAGGTCAGCTTTGGCATAAGGCTAGTTGAGGCAAGTAATATCAGCCTCCTTCCCTGATTCAAGTCTTAAAGTTTTTGTCTAACACAAAGGATTCTGATTTCTCTGGAACTAAAGGGGGAAACTGCTATAGAAATCAATGTATCAGTACATCCCTCCTCCTAACTCCCTTCACTGCTGTTTCATGTTCTTCACTGGATTTCAAAATGGGGCACTTCAGTCTACATTTTGGTGTCAACGGGGCCTTTAATATTCCAGAAGAAAGAGACATCCCATTGAGTATTCTTGCTGGATATCGAGCCTAGATTGTTTGCTTCTAACATTTATTCATCTTTATCCATTTCTTGCATTTTATTTTCATCTCATCATCAACCTATACCTAAGGCAGGTTAAAGTCATTTTAGATGTTCTGGGGTTAAAATAGTTATCTCTTTTTTTTTTTCTTTAACCATATAACAAGTCACGGAAGCTTTTCTCTGAGTGCAACGTGACATGCTTCACCAACTATTTGGTTGATGGTGCATTCAGGGGACCCCTAGGAGGTGGGATCAGCCCAGTACCTGTAGATTACTTCTGGTTGGTGTGGGAAAGCTCCCTCCCCTCCCGGGTCATTATGCTTTGTGCAACGAGAGTGTCCAGATGTTTCCAGCAAGCCTCCCCCATACCCACAAGGTCTCCCAGCCAATCTCCTCCTTGGAGATTTGGATCAGCTTGAGTAGCCACTGCCCCAGGGAATGCAAGGAGAAAGAGGATGGAAAGAGTGTTCTTTCTCTGCTGCTTCATGGCACACCTCCCCATCTCCTGTCACCTGTTTTCAGGCTGCTTTGGAATATGGGTTTACCACTCTGAGAGGATGGCAAGAGAAGAAATGGCTCTTGACCTGCCAGATAACTTATCTCACAAAGCAGATGTGTAGGGCTGGACACCTGGTGGGTTAAGAGTCAGATCCCACCTTCTCCTGCCACCTGATCCCCAGGCTGGGACAGGTGGCAGGAGAAGAATGGTAATCAGCTCCTTGCCTTCTCTTGCCCTCTCTCCTAGCCCTGCAGTTGGCTGCCACAGCTCGTGCAAAGTCTGGAGTGACCTTTGACAGATGGCTAAACCTGTCAAGGCTTACCTGATTCCCAGACTCACCCCTCAACCCAGAATGATTGGTAGTAGGTGTTTTCCCACTGACTGGAATATCTATTGAGAGGGAAGGAAGCAAAGCCGGGACAAATCAGCCAGTCCTTTTCCTTCGGTTGCCCTTTTCACAGTAAACAAGGACAGAAACATTTAACGGAATCCACAAGCAACAGTGTGGGCAGCAAAGTTTTTAAGTGAGCTGTGGATGAGAGCCCCAAAATACTGTACAATGGTATTGCGCTACTAATTTCTACAGCTGTCATTTAATTTAAGGTGGTGCAGCACAAAAGTTAGGGGAACGGAGAATGTTTGATGAAGATCAGCTGAATTTAACCCCTAATTTTAGAGAACGATTACATAAATAGAGTACATTGTATATACCAAGGTTCTAATAGGGATGGAAAGTGGACTGGAGATTTGCTCTGAAAGAGGAAGCACACAGCTTTTGTCCAGACTAAATGTGCATACCTTTTTCATAGTGTAAAAATATTTACATAGAATGGCATACTTAATAATGCCAGATCAACTAGGGATATGATACAGACTACATCACCTCTTCATATTAATATGGTTGTCCAACTACATGAGCTACTGATAGCCGAGACCAAGGATGAGGAACCTATGGCTCTCTGAGCACCATTGGACTTGTATTCCCATCCCAGCCACTGTGGCTAATAGTGATGGAGGCTGGGAGTTGTAGCACAGCAACACCTGGAAGGCCACAAGTTTCCCAATATCATATGAGTTAGGTGTGTCATATGAAAATGTCCCAAAGCTTGGGGCTGGGGATTTTGTTTATCTAGCTCCACTGATCATATCGTAAATAGATTTGGAATGTTCACCATTTTAATATGGTGAGGAAGAAATTTGTATGATAAAACCTGAAAAATGCATTGAGCAATACATTGGTTTAGATTAATTTCTGATTGATAAAGCAGTATATATTTTGAAGATTATTTTGTTAAAGCTAACAACAAATTGTCGATTTTTACCTGGCAGTTGCTGAAGAACTTAAAGTGCAATACATCACTGTAATCTGGAAATGCAATAAGGAACAGTGAATGTATTTTTAAAGGGAAAGTATTTTAACCACTTGTCTGTGAAATCACTACATGTAATCAAAGCTAGTTTAAAAAATATTTTATTTACAACTCAGGCTATGTGGCAAGCAATATAATTCCTATCTTCAATTATTACAAATAAATGTAATGTGCTAGCAATGCCAAGCAAACTCACTGTCGTGTTAATTTTCCATTGTAATGTTACAAGCAACTGGTGTTATCAGTGGGAACTCCTGTAGTCTTAAATGTTCATTTAAATAATCTTGATGGAAGCTGATGGAAACGACTGGACAGAGCAAGAGCCAGGTCTAAAACCATGACAGGGATTACAAGTCAGGGCAGAAGAACATTAAACAGAAGTGCTAGAAGAACCTGTCTGCCCCTCAGCTTACAGTATACTGAAGGAAGTATGATAACTGATAAAAACTCTGCTGCCTTGGAACAAGCCTGGATTCCAGGTGAGCTCCGTAACTACTGAGTGGGGACGCGAGAGACGGGCAGCTCACTCACCAATGTAGAAGTTTGTAGCTGTGCGCATCTGGCGGTGCTTGCTGATGACATAGATGACCAGGGCGTTCCCCACCAGGCCCAGCAGCATGATGAGGGCGTAAAAGACCGGCACGAGCCAAGCATCGGTCAGAAACGGGGGCGAGGTCTCTTCTCCGCTGTGGTTAAAGATCCAGAACTGCATCCCAAGCTGGAAGGTGCCTGTGCTGGGCCTGGCGCTGATGGGGTCACCCTGCCAGGCTACGGTGGGCTCGTCCAGCTGGCTGGCCCAGGAGGCTTCGGGAGGCGGAGGCTCTGCAGCCCTGCGCAGGGGCAGCCGAGGGCTAGTGTCCGGAGACATCGGCCACAGCTGAGCACTCCTGCTCCCGAACACCGCGGGGCTGCGAGAGTCTCAGCTTCAGCAACTGTCTCTGAAATCGGAGCAGGACGAGGCAGGAAGGGGCCGAGGCGCGCAGCCCCGAGGTTCAATCTCTTCTTAGCGGAAAGCTGCACGGTACGTCTAGGCGCACCAGTAATGCAGCCGGCTGCCAAAAGTAGTAGGGCCAGGAAGACTGCCCTCCCCTTTCACGGTTCAGGACCTGGTCAGCAAAGGCCGCTTTCCCCGCCGTTTCTGGTGCCTCCCTGCTTGCTACTGCCGCGGCAATCGCCAGAGTTGGGCTCGGAAGCGCAACGGGAGAGGAAGCGCATTTTCCAGGACCGCGGATTCTCTCCGCGCCGAGCCTGCTCGTCTCCGCAGGAATCTGGCCGCCGTCCGCCCAGGCGCAGCATCCCAGGACTTTTCCAAGAGGCTCTGAGGCTCCGGCCGCGGGACTTAAGGAAGAGCGGCGCGAAGGGCGGCTTTGATTGGCTCCCGAGGACGCTGCCCGCAGATGGAAGAGGTTTCTCGCTGAAGAGCGTCTTCCTCGCGGCAGCCCCGAGAGGAATCGATCATCGACGGCAAGCGGAGCTCGCCGGAGAAATGCCTGCACCTCCGCGCTGCCGTCGGGTCCTGGGGGCTCCCTGGAGTTCTTAAAGGAGAGCGGGGGCACCTAAGGCTTGGCACGCGCGGCTTGCCGTCAGTGGGCGGGGGTCCTGCTCTCTTGGGCGGGCGAGGCCGCTCAGCCTTGCTGAACTGTAACTCCCGATGTCCCTCGCCGCAGGCCAGGCTGGCTGGGGCTGCTGGGAACTTTCAGTCAAGACCCATCTAGA